TTCAAACTACCCGTTGTGGTTGGTTGGCGGGTGCTCTGGTGAGGTTTGCTCCTTTTCTACAAAACATGCATCGTCCTTATTTCTCCTTTTTTTGTGTGTGTCTGCTACTCTCTTGTAACACCTGCGCTAATCTTCGGCACTTATATGACCTAATTGTTCTGAAAGTGCCGTAAATCTCTTACCAAAGCATACAACCTAAACTACCTGGCACGTGACACAGACCTGGCAGGCTGCAGATCCCTAACAGACACCAGCTGCAGTGTGATAATTACGTCACAAAAACACTCGCTTCTTCTTCTTCTTCTTCTTCTTCTTCTTCTTCTTCTTCTTCTTCTTCTTCTTCTTCTTCTTCTTCTTCTTTTTCTCCTTCTTCTTCTTCTCCTTCTTCTTCTTTTTGTGCTCCAGCCACGCATACCCTTTCCCTCAATGGTTCCCCCTTCCGTCTTCAAAACCACTTCAATACCAGTAGTTGAAAAGAATTAATTGGAGAATTTATCCCAACGCAAAGACTAACCATTTTTTCCCGGAGCTGATCAATACATTCTTGTCACCATAAGCCTGTTGCAAGGCACGCATTGATACGGAAAGCAAAGAAAATAAAGATCTCGTGGACAAAACCCCAGGACAGAACTGAGTAAGGTTTTACCCCGTCATAATCGCTCAATCAATTTACAGGGAATAATTACAGCTGAGCGGTCTAAAGCTGTAGCACTCGGGGAAAAGCACGTGCACGCGGCTGCCATGCCAGGAGCAGCGACAAATCAGGCGACGACTAAAGTCATATCGGCCTTAAAGGCTATGTTTGGTCTCTTAAACAAACAGGGGAGGGCAAGCAGCCCCGAAGAACGAACATGGCACTGCAACGCTTGTTTTCGGGGACCCGGCGGATGGGTCACCCCCTGGTATTTCCTGTCACAGACGCGTTGCTTGCTCAGTCAATGTCTTGACAGATTCCACCCGGGGTAAGAGCCGTTGCAATGTAGCTGATCGATTACTTAATTAACCGATTAATCGAGCAGTATCGACGTAATGATCATTGGTGCGATTTTGGCCGTACCCCAGCACGCATTGCGCAGGCGTCACGAGACGACTGCTACTTCCGGGAGAAGGTCGAGTACGAGTGATTAATGGAGGCATGCATTTAAATGCCTCCGGAATTTCAGACGAGAGAGATTCCGCTAGTGCAACACGTTAATGAAAAAAAAAGAGAAAAGGTGGTTCGTATTTGTGGGCTCAAACCGCTGAAGGCCGAGGAGTCGGAGGTGCACAATCATTTCACGAGGAGCCAGGGGCTATCCTGTAAAATAAAATATAATAAAACTATTTTGTTTTTGTTGGGGTTTTTTTTTTGGGGGGGTTCTTTAAGTTTTTGTATTTTCTTTTTACTTCAGGATAAGTGTACTAAGATTACGCTATGAGCTCACTTGTGAAGGCGCGCATTCTCGCCACTCAACACCATATGAAAACGCGCTATTTGGGGCATAATTTCATAATTCAAACATATTTTTCAATTCTCTTTCCTGTAAATGATATCTTAAAAGTTATGCAACAATATACCAACCGGGAAATGTGATCTGGTGGTTTCTGATTTGCATATAGGATGTCTCGAAATGTGCTTCTGCTACTAATCGGGCCTATGTTTGTGTCCGCTTCGTTTCTAAAGAGTTAACACAGCCCACCAAGCACTGCGGTGCACCCAGAGTTCTTTAATCTGTTACAGCAGAGATCTGAGAAATTCAGTCGTGACGCTCCAGACAAATTAAATTCGGGTCACCCATCAAACGACCCGCCCCTCTGTCGCTGTCTCTCTCTCTGTCTCTGTCTCTGTCTCTGTCTGTCTCTCTCTCTCTCTCTGTCTCTCTCTCTGTCTCTCTCTCTCTCTCTCTCTCTCTCTCTCTCGCTGTCTCTTCGTCTCCCAAATGTCTTTAAATCTTCTCTTCTGTTTCTCCTATCCCACCCCCTTCTCTCTCTCTCTCTCTCTCTCTCTCTCTCTTT